GGTGGTGACGTGATTTGTTGGGCTCACTTTCGGCAGTTGTTCACATCTTCAGCCATTCGAGGCCAAGAGTGTTGGAGAAAATTATCGTACGAAGAAAATTATTTTGCCTCCAAATGTCTTGGCGAGCCTGGCCCTAACATACCCCATAAGGAGTTCAGGTGGCGTTGGACGAAACACCACTCGTTCCCTACTGCGTTCGATATCTGACCGTGACCGGGTATATAGTCACAACTGTGACGCTGTACTTGAGAAGCCCTCACATTATTTTTTTGTGAGCGCCACAGGAGTTCATCACCTGCGTGGTTAGGTGAAAACGATACGACATACCTGACAGTACCATCGCAGATGCTTGGAACTGATAACCCATCGAAAAATGCAAGTGCCGGCAATTGTTGCCGACGACAACCTGTGCCCAACACCGGCCTCCGGGCACGGGCGGGGACCGCTCGCGGGGTCGCCACGATGCTGACGGCCGGTCCCGCCGCCAGGCGTGCTGCTGCCGGACCGGCTGGGCGGCGGCGCCGAGGCCGCCCTCCAGCAGACCGCCACCTGGCTTAACGAGAACGGCCGGCTGCTGCCGCGCACGCGGATCGTGCTCGACTACCTGACGCCTAGCCGACCGGGCCTGCGCTGGCGAGGTCAGCCGGGCGGCGGCCCTGGGTCGCCGGGGCGGGAGGTCAGGGGGAGGGAGGGAGAGGTTCGCCGGCCTGCGCTGGCGAGGTCAGCCGGGCGGCGGCCCCGGGGGTGCCGGGGCGGGAGGTCAGGGGAAGGGAGGGGGGGGAGAGGCTCGCCGGCCTGCGCTGGCGAGGTCAGCCGGGTGGCGGCCCCGGGGGTGCCGGGGCGGGAGGTCAGGGGGAGGGGTGGGGGAGAGGCTCACTGGCCGGCTCCTTGAACCGCTCGGCTTGCCGCTGGTGAGCGCTGTCTTGCGCCGCGGTTGAATAGAGCGACCGATGGGGCAGGGCTGTGGCCTATGCCATGCTTCTGGTATGTGTCAGCCGGCCTGTGACGTTCTGTCGTCGCCGCTCACTGACAGCGGACATCTGTCGCGCCCCTCAGCGTGTCAGTTTCTGCGCGGTTCCGTGGTGGCGCTGGTGGTGCTGGACAACTCGTGCGGCATCATCAGAGAAATGCAGCAGCTGGCCCATGATTTCTCCGTTCCGTTTTTCGTCGTCAATAGGTAACAGCTCCCAGACGCGGCATCTGACGGCCGCGGACCAAAGCTGGGAGACTGACAGCTTGGATGGTGCGCGACGAGTTGGTGACAGCAGTGGGAACGTTGGCCACCTAAGACGTGGTCATGAATGCTGTAGGTGTGGGACACGTCCGCTCACTTGGAAAAATACCCACCTCTATGTTGTCAAGGTCGCCCCATTATGCGAGTTATGTTGTGATGTTTATGCCTCGCAGATTCTACTGTCTGAGCTCCGCCGAGAATCGAGATGGCGTGTTTCTCTCGAAGGCGGAGCAGTTGGACGTGCTGTCTCTGGTCGCCCACTGGATGTCCGCCTCCGGGAAGCTGGGGGTCACGGTGGTGTCCACCGACCAGCAGCGTAAGTCGCCCACCCCTGCCCCGCCCCGTCACGTGGCCCTCCGTGAGGGAGAGGCGAGATGCAGAGTGGGCTTTGCCGCAGCAAGATGGCGGCAGCGAGAGGAGGCCCGAGTCGGATCGTGTATTCACAACGTAAGCGTAGGGAATATGCTCTTAGCGCTTTACCATTGTGTTGAGTGACACTTCATAGCATGCTCCCGCTTGGTTGCGTGGCTATGACTGGTTAATTCACGGATGGGTGCAACACGAGCCTTCTGGTGATGAATCAGACGGTGAGATATCGGGTAGGTGCTCTCCCATCGGGACAGCCGCGTCACTGTCGCCACTCCCTGCTCTGTGCTGAACCGTGACCGGCGGCGGCTGTGGGTGGCCCGACCCCAGCCGGACCGTGACCCAGCCGTGCTGAGCCCGTCATCTCCCCAGGTGGCACACGCTGGCGGTGAGAGGCATGTGAGCGCGTCCAGACCTTGATGCCGGCGGCTTAGTTCAATATGCGACGTGTCTGGGGGAGGAGGAGGGGCGCGCTTGGCCCAGCCGCTTCCTGACTGGACTGCGTCGGTTTGCTATGCACAGTGTCCCGTCATCCGCTCCACTCTGTGTGTGCGGAGCCCCCGCCCAGTGTCCCGTCACCCGCTCCACTCTGTGTGTGCGGAGCCCCCGCCCAGTGTCCCGTCACCCGCTCCACTCTGTATGTGCGGAGCCCCCGCCCAGCGTCCCGTCACCCGCTGCAGCCTGCCGTGCGCGGCGCCTTCCGCCCGCGCCTCGCCGCCGCTGACCGGTGTCCGCGCCGCAGCGGCCGACCTCACCTGGCTGCTGACTGACCGGCTGAGCCACCTGGTGCACGAGCTGGTGCCGGCCGGCCGGGCGGCGGGTGACGTGCGGCGCCGCCTCACCGCGCTGCTGGAGGCGCCGCGGCCCGACGCCGATTTCCTGCCGGCTATCTGGGCGTTCGTGCTGCTCGCCGAGCCCGGCCGGCTGGCCGACATCCTGGCCGAGGTGAGGGCGGCTCCGGGCGGAGGCGGGCAGGGGTGCCGGCCGAGAGGACACGGGGTGGAGGTGGGCAGGGGGGCCGGCCGAGAGGACACGGGGTGGAGGCGGGCAGGGGTGCTGCCGAGGGGGGCACGGGGCGGAGGTGGGCAGGGGTGCCGGCCGAGAGAACACGGGGCGGAGGTGGGCAGGGGTGCCGGCCGAGAAGACACGGGATGGAGGTGGGCAAGGGTGCCGGCCGAGAGAACAGGGGGTAGAGGTGGGCAGGGGTGTCAGCCGAGAGAACACGGCGTGGAGGTGGGCAGGGTTGCCGGCCGAGAGAACACGGGGTGGAGGTAGGCAGGGGTGCTGCTGAGGGGGCACGGGGCGGAGGCGGAAGGGGTGCTGACCGAGAGGACACCGGTTCAGGTCAGAGGTGTGAGAGGGCCCCCCTGGAATGGGCGCGGACCCGAGATCAGGCAGCCGTGACGTCACGTCCGCGGTGGGAGCGGATCCTGGATCAGGCGGCAGAGGACCCGCATCTGGCGCTGCTCCGCGCCGCCTCTGCCCGTTGAGCGTACTCGGAGCGCTGACCGGTGTGCATGCGGCTGTCAGGTGTGTGCGCGGGCAGGTGGTCTGTCGACCGATACTGTGATGCCGTGATGCCGTGCCCCTGTCGGTCAGGTGGACGCGGACTCACGGCGTGTCCGTGTCGGTCAGGTGGCTCGCGGACTCACGGCGTGTCCGTGTCGGTCAGGTGGCCCGCGGACTCACGGCGTGTCCGTGTCGGTCAGGTGGACGCGGGTAGGTGGTCTGTCGACCGATGCTGTGATGCCGTGATGCCGTGCCCCTGTCGGTCAGGTGGCTCGCGGACTCACGGCGTGTCCGTGTCGGTCAGGTGGCCCGCGGACTCACGGCGTGTCCGTGTCGGTCAGGTGGACGCGGGTAGGTGGTCTGTCGACCGATGCCGTGATGCCGTGATGCCATGCCCCTGTCGGTCAGGTGGCTGGCGGACTCACGGCGTGTCCGTGTCGGTCAGGTGGACGCGGACTCACGGCGTGTCCGTGTCTGTCAAGTGGCTCGCGGACTCACGGCGTGTCCGTGTAGGTCAGGTGACCCGCGGACTCACGGCGTGTCCGTGTCGGTCAGGTGGACGCGGCCGGGCTGCTGACGGCCGCCTCGCCCTGGCTGCTGACGGTGGACGGCTGGACGGACGGCGAGGTTCAGCTGGCCCTGCCCATCGACGCCAACGTCACGGTGGCCCGCCGCCAGCTGAGCCGCCAGCTGACCGAGCTGCTGCTGCCGCTGGCCCGCCGCATGGGACGCCGCGCGGTGAGGAGCCGGCACAGCTCGTGTTGGGGTCAACACCGTTCGCTGTAGCTTTGTGTAAGCCTGAATGACACTGGACGTATCAACAGACTGACTCGACACTTTGGCCGGGAACGTTTTTTGGTGAGTTGTTCTGTTTTTCGAATTTGGAGTAACTGTAATTGTTCGATTTGGGGAGTGGGCTCCCAACTCTGCTCGGAGCGAGCAGACGTCTGCAGCATCAGCGCCTCTGAACGTGCCGGGCGCTGCCGACAGCTGGACTCTGAGCAGACGTTTGTGATGTCGGCGCTGCTGGCGCTGGCCGAGTCGCTGCACGCCGGCTGGGAGGCGGGCTGGCTGCCGGAGACGGTCTCGGTGGCTTCCGACAGCTGTCGGCGGCAGACTGGCTGGCCGGAGACCCAGCGCGAACTCGCCGCCGACATACAGGCAAGACCTCCTCGCCTGGGAGCGCGCGACGCTGTGTCGCGCGCGCCACCTGGCTCTTCGTTGGGTGTGCCCTCGCCGTCTGTTCTTGTAACGGTTTTAGAAGGTTTGTGGCGAGCCTTGTAACACCGGTCATAAAAACCGACCGGGCGTAGGCGCTGATTGCTGACGGGTGTACCGACTGGGCGTGCGTGCTGACCGCTGACGGATGTACCGACCGGGCGTAGGCGCTGACCGCTGACGGATGTACCTACTGTGTGGGTGCTGACCCCTGACGGGTGTGCCGACTGGGTGTGGTTGCTGACCGCTGACGGGTATACCGACTGGGTGTGGGCGTTGACTGACAGGTGAACCGACTGGGTGCGGGTGCTGACCGCTGACAGGTGTACCGACTGGGTGTGGGTGCTGACCGCTGACGGATGTACCGACTGGGTGTGGTTGCTGACCGCTGACGGGTGTACCGACCGTGTGGGTGCTGACCGTTGACGGGTGTACCGACTGTGTGAGTGCTGACCGCTGACGGATGTACCGACTGGGTGCGGGTGCTGACCGTTGACGGGTGTACCGACTGGGTGTGGTCGCTGACCGCTGACGGGTGTACCGACTGGGTGTGGGCGTTGACTGACAGATGAACCGACTGGGTGCGGGTGCTGACCGTTGACGGGTGTACCGACTGGGTGTAGGCGTTGACTGACAGATGAACCGACTGGGTGCGGGTGCTGACCGCTGACGGATGTACCGACTGGGTGTGGGTGCTGACCGCTGATGGGTGTGCCGACTGGGTGCGGGTGCTGACCGCTGACGGGTGTACTGAATGACAAAACCAGTTCAGGCAGGCTGGAAGACCAGTAGGTGGGTGGGCACACTTGGTGGCCTTCGCGTGGTCATCTGAACCGACCTCTCGCTACCATCTGACCTGGCCACTGTGTGTGTCCGTCTAACCTGATCCCCTGGCCGTCCGACGGGACCCGGTGTCCGTGTCAGCTCGTCATCCGTCTCACCAGCCTCGCTCCCGCAGACCCGCCTGGCCGGCTGGGGCACGTGTCTGACGTGCCTGGCCTTTGAGCTGCGCGCCAGCAAGTACGGCCGTCTCTCAGGCCCGGGCGGCGGCGGCGGCGGCGGCAGCGAGACACGTCTGCGGCCGGCCGGCCACTGGAACGCCACCTGGCGGCTGGACCTCACCTTCCCCGACCTGTTCCGTGGCGCGCACCTCATCGGTGAGAGCACGGCCGAGGGTCGACTCGGTCCGCCGTCGCCGCCGGTCAAGGGTCACTTCGCCGGGCGATGAGTGGTGGGGTTTGGCCTGCCGGACACTGTGGCACTGCCTGGCCTGTCCGGCTGCAGCTGTGTTGCTGCGTGTTTAAGATGTTGCGTACAGCAAGCCGACCCGCAGTCGTGCTCAGCTGTGCGAGATGTGAATTGGCGCGCAGGCCTGGGTCAGTTGCGCGCCGCCTTTCTCGCGGTGCTCCCCAGTTGACTATGGTGGTGGGGGTCAGACGACGGCCCCTCGCTGCTGACTGGTGGCGGGGTGGTCCGACTGTGGTGTGTCTGTCGCCGCCGGTCGGCTGACGTCACTGGGCGCCGGCAGTGTGCACGCTACCCTGGCACGGCGTGGTGACATACCAGCTGGACGGCGCCGGCGCCGTGGTCAGTCGCAGCGGACTCAGTTTCGTCATCCTGGACACGCTGGCTCAGGAGCTGGGCTTCACGTGAGTGGGCGGCCTGCCCCGACTCGGGCAGGGTCGGGCCGGCCCGACCCGACCCGACCCGACTCTGCCCGACCCGGCCCACGGTTCCATCCAAGCCAGGCGTGAAAGACCTGATCTGACTGGAGGTGAATTGACAGGACCTGGGCAAGTCGGACTCGAACTCTGCCGTCCCAATGAAGAAAACCGTTTGCCACCTCTTGACCAGTCGAATGAGCGTACTGAACGCATAAAAACACATTTCATGATACATAATGGAACACTCAGGTCAGCCTTGCCAAAGGTCAGACTCAGGTCCTGAGGTGACCTGACCTTACCTATTCGATCCCGACTTGACCTGACCTCCCAACCTGAACTAACGCGGCCTGACCTGGTGTGGTCTGGGCATTTCTTGCCTCCAATCATACACAACTAGCTGCCGCCTCGCTCGTACAGCGGCCACCCCAGCATCCCCGACCTCTGACCGGGTGTCAGACGCCACGCGTGTCGCCGTCCCCACCGCTGGCGAGGCCTGAGCGTCGCCGCGGCGCGTCGGCCAGGTACTCGGTGGTGGAGCCGCCGGACGGCCAGTGGGGCCTGCTGCTGGAGAACGGCTCGTGGACGGGCCTGGTGCGCATGCTGGCGTTCGGCGAGGCGGACGTCTGCGGCCCCTTCTCCTCGACGCCCGCCCGCCAGGCGGCCGTCGGCAGCACAGTCGCCTTCTTCACCGACTACTACGACCTCATGACGCCCAAGGCCCGGGTCGATCACGGCGTCTTCATCTACAAGGATCCCTTCACGCTTGAGGTGCGCGCGGTGCGGGCCTGTTTAGGTGGAGACAGTCTCAGGGCTTTGTCGAGTTAGTCTGTCAGTGGGGTGGGTTCATTGCATTTGTGTACGTACTTCACGCGAAAAGAGGAATTTTGTTGCGGTCCCTATTCTTCCTCCCCTATTCCTCCCCCTCCTCGCGCGCGCGATGATCGCCTATGGGAGGGAATTGAGTAGAAGAGACAAAGTGACCCGGTTTATGCAGCTGGGGATGACGTGGAAAGAGTGTGTGGGGGGCATTTAATTATCGGTCTATGCGGCTAGGGATGATATGGAAGGAGTTTGTGCGGGGCATTCGACTGTCGGTCCATGCGGCTAGGATTCTGCGGTTGCGCACTGCTCAGCCGATGCTGCTGTTAGTTAGGGTTATGTTCTGTGCTGCCAATGGCTGATGCTCATCCTGCACTGTGCATGTGGTCCGGACCACGAGCGGTGCTGTGGAGTCAGGCGGACCGCGAGCGGTGCTATAGAGTCGGGCGAACCGCGAGCGGTGCTATGGAGTCGGGCGGACCGCGAGCGGTGCTGTGGGGTCGGGCGGACCGCGAGCGGTGCTGTGGGATCGCGTGGACCGGGCAGGCCACAGCTGTACTTCCCCGACGGCCAGCTCGGTACGCCGGTGACCTGCCCCGCCGTCGTTCGCAGGTGTGGCTCGGTATACTGCTCACCATGCTGACCGTGTCCGCCCTGCTGTACGCCATCAACGGCGCCTCGCCGCGCGGCGAGGACGCGCCCGCCGCGAGCCGCACCGGAGGCCTCTTCCGGGCCGGCAACTGCCTCTGGTACATATACGGTGCCACCATCAACCAGGGTCAGTAGCGGCTTCCGAGGTAACGGTGCTGAACCCCGGCAGCTGGCGGCCACTCCGATACTTTAAGCGGCTGGGATCGTGAAGTTGGCTCGTTGCCATGGCGTTCTTCCGCTGGGGCGAAATATTGTTGGCTGACTGCGGAGAAAGGCACGATATGTTGAGGCAAATCGCGATGCCTGAGGAGTCTCGTGCAGCTGTCTTCAGCTGGATCAGGGCCCTGGGATTTACGTGGAGATCAGCAGGATTCCCTGAACCGCAGCGTTTGCAATGGACGGTTGCGCGTCAGCTTAAATGTTCGCAGGCACGCTGTGTGGGACCAGCCAAGGGCTCTCGTGGCTACACGTACCGCTTTGTTATGTGGGGACGCTGCATCCATCGTTATGCCATCTGAAGACGCTGCTGTGTTATCTGGGGACGCTGCACCCTCCGCTGTGCTATCTGAAGACGCTGCACCCACGGCTGTGTTATCTGAGGACGCTGCACCTGGACCGCTATGTTATCTGAGGACGCTGCACCCACCGCTGGTTATCTGAGGACGTTGCACCCACCGCTGTGTTATCTGAGAACGCTGCACCCACCGCTGTGTTATCTGGGACGCTGCACCCTCCGCTGTGTTATCTGAGACGCTGCACCCTCCGCTGTGTTATCCGAAGACGCTGCACCCGCCCGCTGTTGTTATCTGCGGACGCTTGCATCCACCGCTGTGCTAATCTGAAGACGCTGCACCCACAGCTGTGTTATCTGGGACCGCCGCACCCACCGCTGTGTTATCTGAGGCGCCGGAGCTGTCACATCCCCTGAGGACCGCCCCCGCGTGCGGCCGGGTGTGACACCCCGGCCCTCTCTACGCAGGCGGGGTGCATCTGCCGACGGCCGTATCCGGTCGGCTGGTGGTCGGCTTCTACTGGCTATTCTCCCTCATCTGCGTAGCCACATAACTCTGGTAACCTGATCGCCACGCTGACGGTGCCTCGCGTGGTGCCGCTGGTGTGGCGACGTGCGCCAGCTCACGACCAGCCCGGACGTCGGCTGGCTCTCGGCCGCCGGCACCGACCTCGAGCAAGTTCGTCACGGTGGGTCGGGCGAGCGGCGCGGCGGGCCGGGGCGAGGCTGCGGTCTGGTCCTCGCTGTCCGGTGACCGTGCTGGCGCTGGTGTCGAGGGCTCGCCGCCCCGCTGTAGCTCAGAGGTCGTGTGGGATGGTTTTATCTCGCTCTGAGCTGACGGTCGTCGGAAATGGTGTAGGCGTCTATGCTGATATCCGCCTAACTCCCCGACGTCAGGACCCGCTGCCGGTCTGAGTCGGCAGCTGTGGAGGATGCCGTCTGTTATGATGTCAGTACTGACGTCTGCTTGACCCCCCCGACGTCAGGAACCCGTTGGCGGGCTGATGTCCGTGCAGCTGTGGAGGATGCCGTCGTTATGATGCCAGTACTGACATCTGCTTGACTCCCCGACGTCAGGACCCGCTGCCGGTCCGTGTCGGCACCTGTGGGGGATGCCGTCTGTTATGATGTCAGTACTGACGTCTGCTTGACTCCCCGACGTCAGGACCCGTTGGCGGGCCTGAGTCGGCAGCTGTGGAGCATGCAGCAGCGCGGCCGCGGCCGGTTCTTCCCTCCGTCCGAGGACGCGCTGCCGCTGGTGAAGGACGGCGGCTGGGTCATCATCGCCTCCGCCCTCGACATCCGCTTCATGGTCGGTAGGTGCCCGAGCTGCGTCACCTGGAGGGCTGAGCGCGCGCCGACGGGAGGAGATCTCATGTCCGGTGGTCAGGGAGCGCCGGTGGGGGCCCGTGAGTGCGCGGATGGAGAAACTGGATCATTTAATGGGCATCGAATCCAGTTGTGAATCGCCATTGTGATGGAGGCGGAGAAGCAGTGAGCACATTTGTGTGACTGGAAGCCGGCTTCTGCGGAGCCCGTTTTCCGTCCACCTAGCAATGTGATACTATCCTTTGCGCACCGAGCATTCTGCGCAGCGGTATTGGTCGGTCGTGACCTGTCGGTCGGTTGGCGGATCGCTCCGTCGCTGACGGTGCACGGCCGGCTCCGCAGACGCCGAGATGCGGAAGGTGCTCGGCCGGGACCCGGGCGCGCGCGAGCCATGCGAGCTGGAAGCCATCGCCGCTCACGTCAAGGAGATCAGCGTCGTGTTTGGCCTGCAGAAGCGCAGCCCCTACAAGCCGGCGTTCGACCGATAGTGAGTGGCGAAGGGTGCCGTGGACCGGTAAAGATGCCGGCAGACTCCGGGTGGCTTGGAGCTCAGGTGCCGTGGACCGAACAACCCAAAACAAATACTGCTATCGCTCAAGGCCGAACGACCCAAACACGAAGAGCGCGGTATGTGATGACCTTTGTGCTGTGATCTTTTGACTTAGCAAAGCCGTCTCTTCGACGGATTCAGACTTGAAATACTTCCTTCTGGATGATTCTAACTTGTTTCGCTGGCGAACCGCGAAGGCTTGTCCACCACAGCGGATCCCAGATGCGCACTGGGCCTGATCCGTGACGCGGCATTGGCAACCCCAGCCGCTTCCCGGCTTTGGGCGGTTCAACGCAACAGTCTTCCGAGCCGAGGAGAAGCACGTCACCGGGGGTCCCTGAGCTACCAAGCCACGGTCGCGAGGGTGGTGTTAGTCATGCAGGTGTGGAACAAACAATGCAATCGAAACGGAGGGTATTGCTTGTTATGCTGGTTCTGGTCGAAGCAATGCTTTACGGGGGTCGAATCTGTGGACTGTCGAGTACTGAAGGAAGGCGCAAAATGCGTAATGCTGGTTTCCAGCGTTCGTTCAAACATCTCGGACATGTTTACGCCAGACTGATAGAACGCGATTTTATGCATTGCGCTCGATGCATTCGCGTTGTTCCATGTAAATCTCAAGGCAGATGCTCCAAATCATCTAGCGGTGGAAAACGGTTTTGTCGGTATAAGGTAATTAATTTCATGGATCGTTCTGTGGTAGCCATTCACCGACAGTGATTGACCGCCTGCCCGTGAGTGTGTCAGTTAACCCAGCATCAGTGACCGTGTGCCAGTGTGGGTGCTCTGTGACCGCCCTTTCAAAGCGCCCGAAGACTTGGATAGTAGCGCCACTGTGCCAGTGTGTCGGTGACAAGGGTACGCCTGCGACTGTATGGCTGTGCGTCAGCCATGCGCCGCTGGCCTGTATATGCTGTCCTCCGTTTTGGTCGGGGCGTGGTGGCATTGTTTCAGTTACGTGGTATCCGTAGCAGTATGTTAGTAACAGAGCGCCAGCGGCTGGGTGTCAGTATGTCAGTGATGGGGTGTCGGTGTGTAGTGACTGGGTGTCAGTATGACAGTGACGAGGCATCAGTATGACAGTAACGTCGGTATGGCAGTAATGAGGCGTCAGTTTTTAGGTGTTACGGTGTCAGGGACGAAGTGTCAGTATGATAGTGACGAGGTGTCAGCGTGACAGTGACGAGGTGTCAGTATGGCAGTCACGAGGTTTCAGTATAGCGGTTACGAGGCTTCAGTATGGCAGTGACGATGTGTCAGTATGACAGTGACAATGTGTCAGTGTGGCAGTGACATTGTATCAGTATTGCAGTAACTGTGTGTCAGAATGTCGGTGACGGCATGGGGGCCCAGACGTGTTGAACCGTGTCTGTGGCATTGTCACCGAGTGTATCAGCGCGTGTGTAACGGCGTCGGGGCCGCGTGCCGCCAGCTTGCGGCTGATGCAGGAGTCGGGCCTGATCGAGGCGTGGCTGCGCAGCTCACTGCCCAACGCCAGCGTCTGCCTGCCGGAGGACGGCGGCCGGCCGCAGCTGGGCGCCGGGCGCGCGGGCCTCTCACTGGCCGAGATGCAGGGCGCCTTCTGGCTGCTGTTCGGCGGTCTGCTGGCCGCCGCCGCAGCCCTCCTGCTCGAGCGGCTGGCTCGGCTGGCGCTCTCCCGCCGCCGCCCGACAGCCGGCGCCGACTTACAGACGGCGCTGGCTACGGTGCGAGAGCTGACGGGCGGCGTGGTTCGCCTGACGCCCCGACCGGCGGCGCCAGCTGTCGCAGCCGGCCTACCGCCTGGCACACGGGGTCCGCTCGGGGACGGGCGCGGGTGGCTGAGATCGTGCCGGTGGAGAGCCACGGCTGACAAGATTGAGGTTTGGGGGCCGAGGCGGCCGGCCGGCGACGCCCCGAGTCTCCTCCGGCGTTCGTCGTCTGAAATACACTTGTCCTGCGCCCCCCCCCCCCCCCTCTGCGAGCGAGTCCTGTGATCACCAGTCCGGCCTTCCCTTATCTTTTCAAATGGAAAGACTGGTTGCTTGTATGCACTCCTGGTATGTCCACATCTCTAGATAACTGATATCTGCTGTCGGATGTGATCTTGGACTGCCCCGTCACCCCGAGTTGACTGATGAGTTGCCCAGTAATGACAAACCATCCCATTTCATCGTTGATGTGTGTGTGTATGTGTGCCTGCGCACTGGGGGTGTTTGTGGACGGTCGGTCGCCAATCCCACGTACGTAGTCACTAGTGTTTCGAAATGTGGCAATGTGGTAGTTATGGGTTGAACAGGCTGTATCTATTACCCCTGCAGTGTTCCGAGTCCGCTGCGACATTTTGATTGCAGCCTTCTATGAATGACAGCTGGTGCAATGCTTCAACGTTGGTAAATGTGGGCGTCCCTGGGTAGTTAAGTTGTCTTATTGCATACCGTGGCTTGTCTGCCATGGTTGGCTGAAACAGATTTCGGGTCAGGTTGTGTTCAACGCCTGTTACTTGGCGATCGAGAGCTTGTGATTTTTGTGCTGATGTTTGCGTTAGAGTAAAGTCCGTGTCCTCGCGAGGTTTTGTTTGCCTTCCTTGTGGCCCGGTGCCTTAGATTGCTGTTCCGGTGCGAAGGAAATAGTGAAAAGTGCCTGGTCCTTCAGGGAAATGTATGTGATACATGTTAATCGCGAGTGGCCCGTAAATGCGCTTTTTCCTGGAACAGCCACCAATCGATAACAATATAGCGGTATATTTGGTTGGTTTGGATTTTATTCAGAATGCCAGTGGACGCCACCGACAATGGTGGAGATTTCCAAGTTATTTTTGCAAGCATTCTTCTGCCAAGATCTCGTTGACCGTTTTGCGCTACGCGGACGTTTTTGCTCATCTGTTCCGGGCATTGCCGTGCTCGCTGGTCATCTAGAGCATTTAGTCAACCCCCAGTCAACCCCATTCAATGCTTTTAAACAATCGTGGAATTGACGGCCGTTTCACGGCTGGCGGTCCTCACGGCTGGTGGTGCTCACGGCTGGCGATCCTTACGGCTGGTGGTCCTCGCGGCTGGTAGTCCTCATGGCTAGCGGTCCTCATGGCTGGTGGTTCTCACGGCTGGCGGTCCTCATGGTCCGCTACTGGGTGGGTAATGAAGGGCTCGGGGGTGCGGCGGTGCGCCATGTCAGGTTATCGTCCCATCTGAATGGACCGCCCGCATTTCTACGGCGGACGAATTTGTAGTGCTCAGTACTTCCGTACTAAGCTATGGAGCTACCATCCAGGCGGCCGTGCGGGACCTTTCCCTTATTGGTATGAGCGACAAAGTTCGCGAGTCCCTCTGTGAAAGAAGAGTGGTTAAACTAGGGGCTTAAGCGAGAGAAAAGTGAATGGCCCGCCGTGCTGGCGTAAATTATAGCTTTGTCATGCCTAGCATTACCTGGGAACGGCATGTCCATGATGCACATCCCACCAAGCTAACATTTGTACATTCCAACGCTCATGCGGTTGCCGGAACCTAACGGATCGCGGAGAAGATCATGACCATTAAACGCTGGTTGAGTATCCTGCATGCCTTACCAACATCCTGTTTATGCCTTGCTGAGATCCCGTAGATGCTGTATCCTTTATCCCTTGCTCGTGGTGCTCAAGAACTGCCCTCTCCCCGGCGCCGCCGCGCCCGGCCGTCCGGCGCCGGCTCCAGCTCACGCTTCTCGTTGCTGGCGCTGCGCAGCGTCATGGTGGCGCGCCGGTCGTGTCCCCCTTGCAGGACGCAGATGCCGGCGCAGCGGCTCACCTTCTCCGGCGCAGGCCGGTCCGACATGGTGACGACCAGCACGATGTCGGGGGGGGGGGAGGGGAGAGCACGCCCCGTCAGGCGCCGCGCCGCCTCGCGGGAGCACGATGACGAACGGGAGGACTGGGCCGCGGGCGAGTCCGGACTACCGCTCGTGCCAACGCACCGGCGCGGCCGGATCCTGCCGCTGTCAGGACGGCGGACCCCCGAGGCCAGCACCAGGCCTGACGTCCGGTGTTTATCGCGAGGGCCGTCCCGTTGCGTTGTATGCGGGCAGGCGCAGATCAGCGAAGCTATGTGCATCGTCCTGAGGAGCTTGTCATCAGGGCGACGCAGGCTTACAAACGGTGACCTAATACAGAATGTTGGGAGGAAGGAGTTAAAACATCGCGCCACTGTCAAACATACCGTGCCGCAGCGTGAAGGGCTCCACCTTTGACGTCTTGGGGACCATTGCCAGCGCCGGCTGACAGAGCATTGCCGAGGCTGTGCTCGGCCGCCGGCCGTCTCACCGACGCAGAGCCCGGGAATCTCGACACGCCAGCGCCGGCTGACAGAGCATTGCCGAGGCTGTGCTCGGCCGCCGGCCGTCTCACCGACGCAGAACCCGGGGACTCCCGACACGCCAGCGGCGGCTGACAGAGCACTGCCGAGGCTGTGCTCGGCCGCCGGCCGTCTCACCGACGCAGAGCCCGGGGACTCCCGACACGCCTGCGCCGGCTGACAGAGCACTGCCGAGGCTGTGCTCGGCCGCCGGCCGTCTCACCGACGCGGAACCCGGGAACTCCCGACACGCCAGCGGCGGCTGACAGAGCACTGCCGAGGCCGTGCTCGGCCGCCGGCCGTCCCACCGACGCGGAACCCGGGGACTCCCGACACGCCAGCGCCGGCTGACAGAGCACTGCCGAGGCCGTGCTCGGCCGCCGGCCGTCTCACCGACGCGGAACCCGGGGACTCTCGACACGCCAGCGGCGGTCTGACAGAGCACTGCCGAGGCTGTGCTCGGCCGCCGGCCGTCTCACCGATGCAGAGCCCGGGAATCTCGACACGCCAGCAACGGCGCGGCATGCCGACGGGCTCCAGGCGTTCAGCTAGCCGGTGACGTAAGGTCAGCGGGGGCAGAACTTTGTATCCCTTTGAGAGTGTCCATCTCCCCCCCCCCCCATGTTGAGCTGCCTCCTTCCATGTCCGTTGGGCCCCCAATACCGAGCCTGGGGCCCGCGATATTTGGCTGGGTGGACGTTTCCACAACGTGGAGACTGACTACCAACACCCTATCGTTCATATATCAACTTCTTAACTTATTTTTACCTCAAAATGTTTATTCATTAACACTGCTCCGTAACTATAATCTGCCTAAGCAAAAGCCACCCTTAATGACGTCATCGAGTTTTTCCGTCGATGCCCAAAGTCGTATCACCTACTGCTGGGGAGTCGGCCACCGCGGCCATCTTTGAAGTTATGGATGACACTTTCAATTACTTTTATGCGTGCGTGGCGCGTGTGACCATACTCAAATGCCACGGTAGAAGCGCTAGCAGGCACGAAGATAAATTGCCGGTCGGAAGACATGACGCTTTCTTCGCTGCATTGCCGGCTGAAGCCAGCCAGCGGGAGCGCGATGGCCAGCATACGGTGACTCGAGATATAAACTTATATGCGCAAACAAAGACAAAAGACAGCCACTGTGTATATCGTTTACCAATGCTCTACAGCCAGCAGCTGCATGTGCAAGAGCCGTTTTTAATGGCGTCGATTTTTTCCGGTCGATGAAACGGAGGCGCATCACTGCTGGCGAGCCGGCCATTTCCAGTTACGGATGGCCTTACGAAGTACTTGTATTCGTGCGTGGCGGGTGCGATTATGCCCGAACAGCGTCACAGTGGGAGCACTATGAGACGCCAATATAAATCGCCGATCGGACGACATGGTCTTTTCTTCCTTATGACGGTGTATTGTCGACAGCGGTCAGAGCCGGCACAGTGGGATGGCAAGCATGTGGTGACCCGGCAAGATTACTTATAGGCGCGCGTCAAAACACTCATTGTGCATACCCGCTAACACTGTTCCACAGACGTCAGCTGCCTGTGGAACAACTGTCTTTGATGACGTCGTCGATTACTTCTGGTCGATGCCCCAACGATACATCACCCAGCGTTGACGAGCCGGCCATTTCTGGAGTTACGGATGCCAATTAAACATATATTTATACGTCAGCGGCGGGTGCGATAATGCTCAAACAACGCAGTTGTGGGAAAACAACCAGCCGCCAAAGATAAATCGCCGATCAGACTACATGACCTTTCCTTCGTTAGGGCGCTGCATTGCCGTAGCATTATGGTCCAGATCCTGCCGGTTGCGTTATGGTCAGTATACGGTGACCTGGCGCAATTACTCTTAATCACACGCAAAAACAGTCACTGCATATATTCGTAAGCACCGTTCTACAGTCCTGCCAGCTGCCCGTACACCAGGTTTCTTTGATGACGTCATCGATTGTTTCCGATCGATGCCCCAACGGCGTGTTACTCAGTGCTGGCGAGCCAGCCATCTCCAGAGTTAGGGAAAGCAATATGAAATAATGCGGTGCATGCGGGGCGGGTGCAACCAGGGTCAAACAATGTGCTTGTTGGAGCACCATCAGACACCAATTTAAATTGCCGATCGGGAGGCAAAACCTTTTCTTCGTTATGATTGCGCATTGCCGACCAGCCAGACGGCAGCATGACCAGCATACGGTGGTCGGAGATGAGAACTTGTAAGCGCACGAAAAGACAGCCACTGTATACATTCGTTAGCACTTTTTCACAACTATCAACTGAATGTGCAAGAACTTTCTCCATGGCGTCATGAATTTATTTCGGTCGACGCCCCTAAGGCGAATCACTCAGTGCTGCCGAACCGGCAGCCGCGGCTATCTTTAGAGTTGGCAGTATAAATCACTTCTATGTGTGCGTGGAGGGTGTGACCAAGCTCAAACAATGTCATCGTGTGATCGCTATCAGACGCGAATATCAATCGCCGATCGAACGATATGACCTTTTCCGCCCTGCACCGGTGCACTGCTGACTGAGGCCAGCAAGCCGACAGG